TTTCCCCTTTAACTACCAAAAAAATAACTTGCATGCCACAATTGTGTATTTTAGAAAGTTCTTTGGATGTTTGTTCCTTTAGCAGGGGGGGTCTTTATGATCAAGGACTACCGTCTGATGAAAGTGGTTTGACCCACATGATTGGGACACGTCACTTCCTAGTGGAGGGTTGCTTCTTTGTACCAAACGTACAGCTGTAATCGGGTACATCATGGTCCACATAAAGTGAAGTGGGAAAGCAGAGTCAAGGGGGGCAACAAGATTTGTGGGAGACAAAAAAAAGACAGTAATGATACGCATCATGAAATAATTATCATGAAAAGTTTTTTAAAACTAATCTAAGGATAATTGTATAACATATAATAAAACATTACAAACAATACAAACTAATTTAAGGATGAATAATCTTCATAAAAACTTTTCATGATATTTTTTTATGATACCTAACATTATCGTAAAACAAGATGGATTTGGTTACCATGTACACTAATTTCGCCCCAAAAAATGGACAAGAAAATATTGAAAGCTAAACTCCCACTTAACCATTGGTCAATATTACATTGCTGTGACTGAATTTTCTGTTAATACATAAGGCAAGGATAATAAGTTATGTTTGTAAATTGTTTAAAATAGTTAAAATGTCAACTCAACTTTTTTATATTTTTATAAAAAAAAAATTAAAAATTCCATGTGCTTTCACATCTTATGGTTTAAATTTCATTGGTACATGAAAACATAAATTTTGAGTACATAGGATTCTTAACCCCGATATGATCAAATTTCATTTAATAAGACACCCAAATTGAGACCCCGTTAAACAAATCCATTAATGTTACATTAGGTGGTATCTAAATTTCACCCATAAATTTAATAAAGTTAATTCCAGTAGTCTACTAGCATCATTGGAGTATAACTAAGACCTACTCTTATTATTTAATTCTCTATTAGCTATTAGAACTTAAATCTATTTTTTTAAACATATAGAAAAAAACATAAAGAAAGTTGGAGTGAAAAGTATTTATATAATTGCAATACGTTGGATAAATTAGAGGGATGAATGAGATATTGTTGACCAAAATATTGAGCACAATTACTAAAAAGAAAATGATATGTAAATCCATTTTGTAGATCCAGTGATATTATCAATAAGATAATTGGTCGATAATTAGAGAATAAATGAGAGAGCGAGAGTTGACTTAAATATTTGCATGTAGTGTCACATGATTGGGTCTAAAAACTTGGACCAATTTTTGGGCGTGAATACCAATAGAATTGAAAATAAGGGAACAAGAAGGTAAGGAAACAAATATTGAAGTAGAAACGCTCATACTTGTATATAAATAAAAAAAAGTTCAGGCGTAATTAAAAAAATATATCTAAATTGAAAGATGAAAATAGATATTAGTTTGGAGAAAGAAGAGAATAGACAAAAATACTTACCAGCATGCCTAACTGCTTGATGAAGCTCCAAGCTTTCAATCTTTGGGAAGACCTCTCCACACTCTGAGCAAGCACATATTGTAGACCTTGGAGATGGGTACCTGTTTTTTTTTTTTAATCAGGATAATTTTATTTTAGTATATTAATTACTCTAGTAAAAAGTTGTGTGTCTTGAACAAATACCTTAAAATACACACCCACAACAAAAAAAAAAAACCACATGAATATATATAAAAAAATTCTCATGTAAATATAGTCTTACTGTGAAAATGTGATACTTGTTGAATTATCTTGAATAGAGAAATGTTAGAGACCCACAAATTCACTTATAAATACAATCATACAGTAAGAAAGTTAAGGTCTATATAACTGAGTGTATGTCAAATTAAAAGTAGACAATTATCACGTCACATCATTCTAAGTTAAATCGTAAGAGTAATTTTAGGAATCTCAAACCTTTGTTGTTTGGATAATAGAATTTACCATCTTATATGTGTTGTTTTATGATTAATTAGTGATATGACGTGACGGTGATAACCCCATATCACCATTATATGAAATTTCCTTTTGAAAAATGAAGTATATGATGTAATTTCAATTTTAGTATAGTGTAGACCACAATTACAATAAATCTATCCACCATATTTTACTTTTTTAGTATACATTTTAACCTAAACCGTTCAATTAAAATGAACTCAGTTGACTACCGTTGTACACCTCTATCAATAGTTCTTTAATTTATTGTTAATTTTCTTTCTTAGGTTGGTTAGTCATTGAGTTGATTGTTTCTTGTTCATTACACGCATTTTGATGAGCTAATTATTGATGAACTATAATTTTTCAGATGTAATGTTCGATAATAAAAAAAAGAAAGTAAAAGAAAAAGAAAGCAATAAAAACCTGCTAGGATCGACAATCATGCGACATTCATAACACCCAGAAAGCTTTCTCAATTGCATGCCTCTAGAAGAGCAAGTGAACGTTGCACCACCACCACCGCTGCCGCCATTGGATCTAGTGGAGCTCGACAATGATCGACTCGACGCAGACCCAGTGACACCAGCAGCAGCGGTGGCTTTGCGAGTGAGCAGCCTGTTGTTGTCCTTGCCGACAGTGCTACCTTCCGGGGAGTTATCGGCCCTGTGAACCACCCTGCTAGTGTTGCCATGAACCACGTCTCTGAAACTACATATGGAGCTGCAAGAAGAACTCAGCTTCGCAGACCCACCAGAGCCTTTGGATGAAGATGATGATGGGTCGTGAACTGTGGACCCTTCGATCTGTTTGCAGGTGAGGAGGTTCTTGATTTGGTCCCATGAGGATGAGGGTGAGGATTGTTGGCTGTGAATCTGATGCTTTCGCTTGCGTTTGGAGGCGGGTTGTTGTTGTTTTTTGGATTGGGAGGAGTCTGGTGCGAAAGTGAGGAGTGCCATGAAAAGAAGAGAAAGAAAATAGAAGAGAACTGGTACAAAGTAAGCTCTCCTCACGTTCATGGGTATCGATGAGAGAGAGAGATTTTGGGGTTTTGAAACTTTGATGAGGAGAGGAGAGAGAGTGTTTTTCTTTCTTTAATCGATGGAGAGGAGGTATCCGAGACGGGTAATAAGGAGGGAAAGTGGGTGGGTGCTGGGTCGTTAACCTTTATTATTATTTTTTTTTCAAATGACTTTTCTTACAAAATTTATCCGATTGTAGCCATGATTATTCAGATTTTTCTAAGTAATATGTTGTGTGATAGAAATTCATTTGATATAATATGAGATCCGCATATAACATAAATATAAATTGCAAATATGATATGCTGAATAATTTTTGAGTTTTTATGCTTAGAATTGTTTGTAGCGTAACTTCTTTTCTTAATGCGTGTTGTTAACGTGAATGTTAAGAAATTTAAGAGATTGTATATTGTGTATTGAAGTGAATTTGTCTCAACTTACATACACAGTTTTGAAAATTATATGATTCCGTGTTATGTGATTTTATGATATTTAAAATATGAGATAATTTACACGAATTTAAATTAAATTATATGTTTTTGTGAAATCATTTACGTAAGTTCACGAGAACTTACATAATTTTGTGATTTGTAAAGTTTTTATAAGTTAACTTATCTGAAATTGTATTGATTTGCGTTTTTATGAAATGACTTGTGCGAATTCATGAAGAAAAAAAAAATGCGAATTCATGAAGGAAAAAAAAAAAGCATAATAAAAGTACATAGATTGCACGCCATATATGCAATGCACACCTAAGATAAATCTATATTTTTAAGCATGACATGTGCTCTAAGAATATAAGTTAACAAGATTGTTTTTCCATTATTCTCAATTTGTGCTTTTGCCATTATTTGTGATTTTGTTTATTTATATACGTAATGTTTTATGTATATATATATATATGAAAAATTATATAAGTTTCAAAATTTTTATTAAATAAATGATCAAATATCTCACATGGTCATGTGAGACATTTGATAATTTATTTGATAAAAAATTTAGTATATCATAACATTATCCTATATATATATATATATAAAAAAAGGTTGAGATACTGGCTGGTGGGGTACTTTGGTGATTCAATTGGGCAGATAAGATATTGATGGATCCGGTGAGTTAATTTTATTATTTATGTTTTTACTTATTTATATGAGGAATGTTATATAAAAAGGGCCATGCTAGCATACCTCAGTGAGGTGACCTCCACTCACAACCCTAGTGGTGTTCACCCCCATTAGCTGAAAACAAAAAAAAGAAAAAGAAAAACAATTTTTTGGCCAATGAAAAACGACCCCAGTGCCCCCACTGGGATGTTAGGCATTTTCCAAAAAAAATGGGTTGAGCGATTGGCTGGTAGGATACTTGATGATTCAATTGGAGAGATAATGATGGATCGCGTGAGCTCATATTTTGATTATTTGTCATAACTTTTTGCATAGATGATTCATATTTTAAAAAAAATAAAAATAAAAAAATTTATATTAATATATTATAAGACAAAAATTATTGGAAAAAGTATTAGTCACTTGATTAGATTATATTATATTTTATAAAAAAATAAAAAATTGGAGGACTATTTTCAAAAATATTCTTGACATTAATTTTTATAAGACAAATATAATTAGATTATGTGACTATCAATTTAAACTAAGTTTTGCATGGATGATTTGTTTGGAAAACCTATAAGATAAACCATACAAATCAACGAATTGCACCAAAAAATATTGAATGTAAGAGTGACACTATCCTATATTATGTCACCGGGTAATAAAATGTCACAAATGAATTAAGTAGATAAATTTTATCTCTTATTAACTTAAAAATGTTGTAATTCTTACCGCAAAGTTAGATTGCATATTTGACGATGATACTATCATGTGGTATCAGTGTTCCATTCACTCCAATAATACTTTCTAATTAGTCTCAAAAAATTTGTGCAAAAATGGAGTATTAAATGACACGGTAAATGTTTATTTTATTATTTTAAAGTAAAAAAATTATTTAAATGATTTTAATTTTAATTTTAAAGATTATTATTGTCATATTATTTCAACCATAATTTTTTTATTAGAGTAGACTTTTTCCTCATAAAAGCTGAAATCTCATTGTGTTTGTCCTATGTAATTATGATTGTTTTGCTTCATAACCTCAACTGGATATGATGTGCTTGACTTGGTCAAGTGAGTGCAGTGATGATGACCAAATGTTTGGGAGGTACCAACTGAGGCCCACTTTTTGGACACACATGCAAGGATACAAAACAAGGCATGTGGAGTGCTAGGAAGGCTAAATTGGCTCTAACATAACATAAAATAACATGATTCGTGTGATGTTTACTTGGAGTTATTCTCTCATTCTTATTCTTGTTATTGTTATTGTTCTTGTTCTTTTTCTTTTTCTTTTTCTGTGGCTAAAGTTTGGCTAATGGGTTGGGCTATAGAAAATGCTTTTATTGCTATCCAAAGGTAAATACCCTACAAAAATATTTTTGCTCACTAGATTTAATTTCAATATAACGGTAATACAATATTATTATTAACGTATAATATCACTATTTAATAATAAAAATTTGTATAAAAAAAAGTAAATCGTATTATCTACCCTAGCTATTTAGCCTCCGTTTGGGATGTGAGTTGTCTTTTTAATTTTTTCACTATTTTCGCCTTAGACTAAAAAGTATCGTTTAAATTTATTTTTTTTAAAACTTTTTTGACTTTTGTAAGAGAAAAAATAAAATGATTATGAGTTAAATATGACATTTTGTCTTATTTAACTAAAATAGTTAATTTTATCTTATATGACTATTTTAACTCAAATATATTACCCAAACATAACCTTAGGTCATTCCAATTGACATCGGCATAGTGTGACACATAACATTTAAAAGGTAAATTATAATTAAATGGTGATCACACATTAGAAGCATGTGACGACACGTTATTGATAACGTGTTTCATTTTATTAGTCAAAAAAGTCACTACTTACTCAAATGGATTAAAAGGTAAAATCACTACTTACTCAAAAAATCACTACTTACTCATGTTTGATTGGTTTTCAGAAATTTAATATTTTTTTTAAATTAAAAATTAATTTGGTAAGAAAAAATTAAAGACAAATTACATTAAAAAAAAATCTCTAAATTGTGCGTATTTTTCAAATTAAATTATAGGATTTCAAATGTAGCAATTTAACCCTTGAACTTCACTCAAGGTCACAATTTATGGCCCTAGTCAATCTCTGAATGTTTTTTTATTTTTTGTTTTGTTTTGTTTTATTCTATTTTTTTTGTTATGTAAGGTATCATGGACTAGCTTACACGCACCAGATTATGTCTCTATAGTCTGAATAAGCCTTTCGAAACAGGACTTACGCTTTGCAGTCTGTGGTCAAGGTATACAATTGTTGACTAGACCTTTTGAAACAAGGCTTACGCCTTACACTCCATGACCCCAAATATATGGGTTTGCTGACTATGGAGATTCGAATATAAAACTGAGAATGAGTAAACCTCTAAGCCTCAATCGTCATCCACTAGGCTAATCACAATCTAACGAATTACTCAATTGTGTTTCTCTTCCCACCCACTAGTTTCATTTTCTTCACCCACTCGCTGGGTTTCAAAAATATGTCCAACATCGACGGTCAAATTTAGCCGATCACCATATAACAATCTTACAGATTCAGTGACTACTCCAAACCCTAACCCTCTCGGTTTCTGTCTCTGTCTCTCACTCTCTCTCTTCTAAAGCTTTATCGCCAAAATTTGAATTGTATTCAAAATGGTGACGTTGCTAGATTCTCAACTTATCGATTTGGGCCCTGAGCCCACCGTTTGTTCATCCTAATCGTCTGGTCATCAACGTCTGCTATCATGGACCGCCAAGACGAAGCTTAGCGTGAGCACCCAAGTTAAGGGTGGCAAAGTTGAAGAAAGCGGAGGAAGCCAACTTCCCAAACGAGGCCTAAGAGAGAGAGAGAGAGATAGAGAGAGAGAGTGAGAGGCGCAGTAGGTCAGATCAGAGCAGTGGAAGGAGTTGGAGACGATGCGGAGGGTGAGAGAGAAAGAGAAAGAGAAAGGCAACGGGAGAGGGTTTTGATACAATGGGTTGAAGTACATGGTAAGTGTATGATCAATGGCTCTGATGTAATAGTTGATACATAAGTGGTGGTATTGATATAGTGTAATTATGTTCAAATATAATAGTAATATTAAATAAAATGAGCCAATGAAAATGTGTCATATGTACATTAATTTTTTTTTTTATCAAACAACTTAACAAAGATGAATGTATGGTTAATATTGATACGAAATAACAAAATCAGAATTTAAATTGATATAATTAAAATATTGGGATTTAATTTGAAAAACACACGAAATGCTGAGATTTTTTTTTATGTAATTTGCCCAAAAATCAAATATCATTTTCATATATTTTTATTTTTTGAGAGGTCAAAAATTATTTTTAAAAATGTGAAAATATTTTTTTTATCAAATTAGTTTAAATATTTTCAAAAAAAAATTATAAATTTTTTTTCTGAAAAACAAATCAAACATAACCATATTTGTAAAGAGAGCATGAACATTATTCTTCTCTACTAATTAAATTCAGCTCATTGTCCCTTTAATTTGGTCAATTCCTTATCTCAAGTAGCTTTGTTGAAGATTATTTTATAGTATTAGTTTTTCATAAGTTACAATAAGTTTTGATTCTAGAAAATTTTAGGGGAAATATCCAAAAAAATAAAATAAAATGAAAAGTAGAATATTATTTTCAAACTCATGAAAGTATAAGTAATTTATGCAATAGATTTGTACAAATGAGTGTTTGTAGGAAAAGGTTCAAGAAAAGAGTTAGAAAATTCGAAGATCTTCGAAGATCCTTAAAGAACACAACTTTCGATTCTCTGAATATAGTGAGATAGAGCTTGAGAATTCTCAAAATCTCTGAACTTAGGGAAACGATAAATGTATAACAACAAAAGGAGATGATGGAGATCAAAGAGATTGGGATAAAGAGAAGAAGGCCTAATTGGCTATAGGAGACATAAAGAAAATGATACATGGCAAGAGGCTCTCATGTCAG